TCGCGGAGGAACAAAGGCCGCCCACCAGCACACTTCATCAAACAATGTCCTGCGTATTTCTGTCCACTTCTTTTCAGTTGCTATTCATTCTTTTCACATCTGCTTCCATTTCCCGGCGTAATGTGTTCCTCGGTCTTCCTCATCTCTGTTTTCCTTCAGGATTCCAGGTTAGCACTTGTTTCGTGATACAATCTGAAGATTCCCGTAATGTATGTCCTGTCTACTTCCAACGTCTTTTCCTAATTCCCCCTTCAGTTAGAAGTTGATCTGTTCTCTTCCACAGAAGGTTATTGTTGATGGTATCCGGTCAACAGATATTGATTACCTAGCGTAGATAAGTGTTCATAAATACCTGTATATTCTTGATGATGGTTGTGATGGTTCTCCAAGTTCTACCTCCATGTAGTAGGGTTTGCTTAACCTTTGATATTAGTTGACAATAGTTTTGAGTTCCATATGATTCTCATTTTTAGGAGTACGACCGGTGCTTTGCCGATCCTCGCAGATACCTTGAAATCAAACCTTCATATTTGATCGATGATGGTCCTCAAGTTAGTAAAAGATTCCACATCTTCCAGAGATTCACGATCAAGTGTGACTGGGTCGGTGTTCTGTGTACTGTATTTGAGGATCTTGCTTTACCCTTTGTGTACGTTGTGTTTATTATAACTTGTGAACCGGTGTGGCCTGTTAATGTATAACGCAACGAGAGCAGTGAATCTTCGACCGGACCTATAACGCATAAAACACGTACGAGCAGTCTAGAGTCCTGCTTCCTGCCTAGCCCAGTCAGTTGAGTTCAGAACACAAATCTCAGCCTCTGCAATATCAATCATTTATTTCAAACATACTCGGTTTATATACCAACCAGACAGACCATAGCGTACCATAAAATAGAAAATAACAATATTTGCCCAAAAGTGGCTGTGAATGAGGGAGATAGTAATTAATAGACAGGCCATAACTCAAGAATGGTAAATCGTATAATAATAGTTTATAGATCAAAATAAAGTTCATAATAAGAGGGACATGAATATGAATAGTTTAGTTACTTAACAATTATTCGACAAAAATATTCGCATAGTATTGGTCCCTAAATGGATCCCGAAAGTTACCATTCATTATTCTTATCGGGATATAACAGTGTCGATAAACATACACAGGTCAATTATCTTGGTGATACCTTTTCCTTTGATCTCTCTTGGTCTTCTCATGTTTTACTGTTATCAAAGGACAATTTCCGTCAGACTGAGAACATAAAGAGACTGCACGCTTTTAGCATTACTCGACATTTACTCCTACAGTTTGTTAATTGCATATCACTTATTATTCTTTATTGTTATTCATTATCCCAGGCTTTTGTGAAAACCTTTGTTGTATTACGGAGAGTGCTGAAGGCAGTTAGCAATGTGTTTGTTCAACTTTTTGAGGTCATTATTGATATGATTGTGGATAAACATCTAAAGCTTAGCAAACTCCTGGCAGGTGATTTCTCATCAGATACTAACAATCCCTTCATTCACATCTTTCTCTTTGTATATCTTCTGGTAGAACGAGACGTAAATACATTAAAATCCATGCACTCAAGCAAAGGTACAAAAGTTCTATAATACCTTACCTAGTAAATATACTCTGTGAAATACAGGTAGTTCGAGTTAACCTAGTCAATAACCTGAATTCTTAAACATGTCTCTGATTTGAAAAGTAATTCCGCCTGGAGTCCCTCTGGAGGATTCTGCCGGCCCCAAGCCCGGATAAAGGAGGAGGGTTAGGCATGGGGTTAGCGACCCGATCCCGTAGAAAACTAACTCGCTAAAAAAGCGCTAACCAGAAAAAGTTATTCAAACCAATTAAACTCTGCCCTGGGAGACAGAAGGTCTTCGTTTAGAAGAGTTATGAAGCCCCATGGTAAAAGCCGAGTTACTACGGAAGCCACGAGGCCGATGCCCCTTCTAACAACCGGAGCAACCATTTATTTAGGTACATGGAACGCTCGTACAATGTGGGACACCGGGAGAGCCTTCCAAAATGCTGCAGAAATGAGGAGATACAACCTAGAGGTGCTTGGCATCAGTGAAACACTTTGGACGCAAGTCGGAAAACAAAGATTAGCCTCACGGGAGCTTCTGTTATACTCCGGCCATGAAGAAGAAAATGCCCCACATACACAAGGAGTCGCATTGATGCCGTCCAAACAAGCACAAAATGCGCTTATAGGATGGGAATCTCATGGATCAAGGATCATCAAAGCCTCCTTCAACACAAAGAAATAGGGCATTTCAATGAACGTCATCCAGTGCTATGCACCTACCAACGACTACAATGAAGACGCTGAAGATCAATTCTACGATAGGCTGCAGTCAATCGTCAAGAAGTGCCAACAAAAGACCTGACCATTCTGATGGGAGACTTCAATACCAAGGTTGGAACGGACAACACTGGATGTGAAGATATCATGGGACGACACGGACTGGGAGAAAGGAACGAAAATGGTGAGAGATTTGCAAACCTATATGCTTTTAATAAACTAATTATAGGTGGCACTATATTTCCACATAAGCGCATTCACAAAACACATGGACTTCACCGGATCACACCACGCAAAACCAAATCGACCATATCTGCATCAACAATAGGTTCGGGAGGACAATGGAGGATGTGAGAATCAAGAGAGGAGCTGATATAGCATCAGATCATCGCTTGCTGGTCGCCAAGATGAAGTTGAAACTCAAGAAGCACCGGACAATGGGGCGGACAATATCACAAAAGTTCAATACGGCCTTTATTCAAGATACTAACATACTCAACGAATTCAAGATAGTCCTCAGTAATAGGTTCCAGGCCTTTCATGATCTACTCAATGGAGAGGGAACTACTATGGAGAGCAACTGGAAGAGGATCAAAGAAGCAATCACTTCAACATGCCATGAGGTTCTGGACCACAAGAAGCACCATCACAAGGAACAGATCACTGTTGATACACTGGATACGATTCAAGAAAGGAGGAACAAGAAGGCAGCAATCAATAACAGCCGAACAAGAGCAGAGAAAACCAAGGCACAAGCTGAATACACAGAACTAAACAAGCAGGTGAAAAGGAGCATCAGAACTGACAAACGTAAATATGTGGAGGACATAGCAATGACGGCGGAAAAAGCTGCAAGAGAAGGAAACATGAGACAACTGTATGACACGACAAAGAAACTGTCTGAAAATCACCAGTGTAAAGCAAGGACGGCAAGGTAATCACCAATATTGAAGAACAACGAAACAGGTGGGTAGAACACTTCAAAAAACTCTTGAATCGACCAGCCCCACTGAACCCACCCAATATCGAAGCTGCACCCACGGACCTCCCAATCAATGTTGGTCCACCAACAATTGAAGAAATCAGCATGGCCATCAGACAAATCAAGAGTGACAAAGCAGCAGGACCGGACAACATTTCAGTAGAGGCACTGAAAGCAGACGTAGCGGCAAGTGCAAGGATACTCCACATTCTCTTCGATAAGATTTGGGATGAGGAACAAGTACCAAGAGACTGGAAAGAAGGACTCCTGATCAAAATACCGAAGAAAGGCGATCTCAGAAACTGTGATAACTACAGGGGCATCACTCTTCTCTCAATACCGGGAAAAGTCTTCAATAGGGTATTGTTAAACAGAATGAAGGATTCCGTAGACGCCCAACTTCGAGACCAACAGGCAGGATTCCGTAGGGATCGATCGTGTACAGACCAAATCGCAACACTACGGATCATTGTGGAACAATCGATTGGATGGAATTCATCACTCTACATCAACTTCATTGACTACGAGGAAGCATTTGATAGCGTGGACAGGACAACACTACGGAAGCTTCTTCGACACTACGGCATACCTGAGAAGATAGTCAATATCATACGGAATTCCTATGATGGATTAAAATGCAAAACTGTGCATGGAAGACAGTTGACAAACTCGTTCGAGGTAAAGACCGGTGTCGGGTAAGGTTGCTTACTCTCACCCTTTCTCTTTCTCCTGGTGATCGACTGGAGCATGAAGACGTCAACATCTGAAGGGAAACGCGGGATACAGTGGACATCTAGGATGCAGTTGGACTATCTAGACTTCACAGATGATCTGGCCCTCCTGTCGCAATCGCAACAACAAATGCAGGAGAAAACGACCAGTGTAGCAGCAGCCTCAGCAGCAGTAGGTCTCAATATACACAAAGGGAAAAGCAGGATTCTCCGATATAACACAGCATGCACCAATCCAATCACACTTGACGGAGAAGATTTGGAAGATGTAAAAACCTTTACATATTTGGGCAGCATCATTGATGAACAGGGTGGATCTGATGCAGATGTGAGGGCGCGGATCGGCAAAGCAGGAGCAGCATATCTACAAGTGGGGAACATCTGGAACTCAAAGCAACTGTCTCCCAACCAACATCAAGGTCAGGATTTTCAATACAAATGTCAAAACAGTTCTACTGTATGGGGTGGAAACCTGGAGAACTACGAAAGCCATCATCTAGAAGATACAAGTGTTTATTAACAGTTATCTGCGCAAAATACTTCGGGTCTGTTGGCCAGACACTATCAGCAACAACTTACTGTGAGAGAGAACAAAGCAGATCCCAGCGGAGGAAGAAATTAGGAAGAAGCGCTGGAAGTGGATAGGACACACATTGAGGAAATCACCCAACTGCGTCACAAGGCAAGCCCTCACATGGAATCCTGAAGGCCAAAAGAGAAGAGGAAGACTAAAGAACACATTACGCCGGGAAATGGAGATAGACATGAGAAAAATGAATAAGAATTGGATGGAATTAGAAAAGAAGGCCTAGGACAGAGTGGGTTGGGGAATGCTGGTCGTCGGCCTATGCTCCATTGAGAGTAACAGGCGTAACTAAGTTAGTAATTTATTAGCGCACTTGAAAGAAACTTTCCAATCCTTCTTTCAACAAGTGCCATTCAATTGTTTCCCTTAATGAATTTGAATACAACCAGAACAAACACTGATACAGTATAATATAAACTCATTAGATTGCGCCGTTTCTCATCAACTGCTTGCAACCATATGTTTATTGAACGTTAATATTGAGGTAAGATATGATATGAAACATGTAATTAAATTAAGGCAAAGAACTAGAATGACAGATGTTATATATATAACATGAGGGTGTGGGTAAAGTATTAATTAAATGAGGTCCGGAGATAGATAAGATAGATAATTTTAGAGGTTATGAAGGGTTTACTTAAGATTACTGGTATTAAAAATTGATAAGACGGGTTACGTAATAATCGAACAGGATTTGAAGAGTTTACAAAAGTTAAGAGGACTTAGTGAATGAAAACGTTTGTGTGAAGGGATAGTGTACATAAAATAAGAATTAGTTAAGGAAAGTTCGCTTGACAGAATGAACACTAATAAAATATTGATACTGACAAAAATAATTCACCAAGGTAGTGGTAAGTTTATTACTGTCTCTTTCAAGATACATAAATCAGGTTTGAGTGTTTTTATTGATCTTGCTTTGGCAAACCGAAGAAAGGATGCGTTATTAATCTAATGTTGATGAGATATCATGAAATATAATGAATTCACATTATTCTGTATCAGTATTCGTTCTGTCTTTATTCAAATCCAACAAATATAACCGAAGCAAAAGTTTAAATGATCAATACGTATTAGAATATTATAGAAATTCATAGATATTTCAGTCGAGCCTAGGTTTGCATATCATTACTGAATTTGTTTCATAATTATCAGATACAGCTATGACACTCAAACTGATTAATTTTGAATTCAGGCATCAGTATGATTATCAAGGCTGAGTTGTATGATATGGATTTTATGATAATTAATTAGACAGCATCTCAGTGAATTTAACTGGTATGTACTTGTTACTAACTGATATGTAACACAATTTGATCTAAAAACTATGTGATTAGAATGTAGAAACGTAAAAGTGTTGACTAGCGAGCCGACAAAGTGATGTGTGGGCGAGGATGACAATGATTGGTTATTCGCTTTGTCAGACTAGTAGATAGTTTAACAGGCGTTAGATGAGTTGTATATTCTCTTATCCGTATTATTATTATTATTATTATTATTATTATTATTGATTGTGTCGGATTGATGTCGGTTTTTTGGTGTAACAATATATTTACGTTCTAGTCAGGCTAATCTCGTGTCGTTGATCTGAGTTATATTAAAGTCCTGTAAAATAGACACTGCTAGGGAATCTAATGTAGATATTCGTCTAAGGTAAATTAATGTCTCATTCATATAGACGAGGAAACTCCGAGCATTATAACAGAAAGAAATTTAATTAAATATTTGAGTGAATACAAACTGTTGCTTCTATTTAATTACCTGTTTCCTGAAGAAAGAAAAAAAAACATTTTCTCGCTAAGAAACACACATGCCAAATGAACTGAAAGGACAAATTATTTCTGGTTTAAATTGAGTACAGTTTAAACAATCAAATGTTAAACTTATCATAAATCACAGTTCCATTTTCTTTGTGTGTGTGTGTGTATTTAAAAATGCATCAATTAGATTGAACATCGTCTTTTATTTTTATGGTCTGAATGAATTTCGGTCTACTTAAAATGATCAATTAATTGAAGCGTTTAAAACAAAACAAAACTGAAAGTTAATACACATTTAAAACAGCAACAACAACAAGAAAAACAAAAATGTTGGTTTCTGCTTTTGATCAAATTAAATTTAGAAATAAACTAAATAATAGTAAACTCAGAACTCAATTATAAATACAGATTAAAATGTAGAATGTATTTTTTTCCTTTTTTTCTTTTCTTTTTCTTTCTTTCTTTTTTGTACATTACTCTTATTGAAATATACAATTAATTCGATGAACTATCTACTTATTAAACATACGTGTACATTGTTTTAGATAAGACTATGGAATGTGAAGTCTCATTAATAATCTTCATATATATGAGGTGTTCAATGTGAAAATAAATTAATTATTATTCGGATATGAATTAGGACAAAAATAGACCAGATTTGAACCAAATCTAAAATGATCTTGATCAACAATAACACATGTATTCGGAGATGGTGATGATAATGATGATGTTGATTGTGGTAATAAGGTATCTGTTGTATGATAAACATGTTTAAGAAAATTTTCATTTGCATCAACTGATTGTAAAACTGTATCTAATGTTGTAAATTCTTGTAATGAATTATCCGTAATTAATGTAGATATATTAGATATTTGTGAATTTGTTACCGAATCACAATATGCCATATTTGTACAAAATGCATAAGATTGTACAGTTTCTTTTGGTTTTTGTGATTTACTTACAATATAGTTTGATTTACTTGGAGCTTCTATTGAGTTCAGTACCGAAGCACCACTCGATGGCTGCATCTGTTATAAGAAAATGAAAAAGGACACGAAATGTGAATATATATATATATATATATATATATATATACACTAACAATAGTAGGCGGCTGTTGACAGTTTTATGAAAGGGTGGAGTTGATGAGAAACATGGTGTGTCTTTAATCCTTACTTTTCGAACAGTTTAGTCACATGTAAATATATCAAAGCATTTATGAATGAAAACTAACAAAGGTAATTTAAATAGGGGTTTCATTAAACATGACAACAGGAAATAAACTAAGGGAAAAATGAATGCGATATGAAAAAGATAACAGAACATTACAATACCCCGGTTCTGGAACTTCACTGTTTATCAAGGCAGATTCAAAGTTAAGAGAAATATTCTTCTGTACATATAAAGTTTCGAGATTTTTCAAAACCAAAGGTTATATAATTCAACCTTGACAATTTCTGTGCGAATCTTGAAATCCATATTCAGGTCAATCCTAAAGCCTGTTTCTATTGTGTTTTGTTATTGAAGGGCATAGTTTTCTACTTCCTGAATTATCGAACCCCCTGATACTAATTGATTGGCACATTTGGGCACATGTTATATCACTGGAGGTTGAACCGTTTGATTACTCTCAGCATATATGCACCCACAGATATTCAAAACGAGTAATGCATTGGTATGTGATATATCCGTTCATCATATGTAAAGACCTATGTGGAATCATGGGCTTATTTGTCTCACAGGCAATTAATTCAGAAACATAATATATTTCCTTCATGAATGTTTTCAATCCCTGCTTTAAAATTATAGTGTTTGATTTTCTTTCATATGATAGACTGATGCATATCATTTTCTCGAAACAAATATAATAAGAGATCCTAATGTTGACCAACTTTTACACAGATCTTAAACTTTAACGAATATTCGAAGCAATGGTTTCATGTCACGTGCTTTAGTATCTTCAATGCATATTTATTGAATTGTGTTGAAGAAGCACTTAACGATACGCGTTTTATATTGCAGCGGACAGGAACTGAAGAATTCCAGACAATGGTCAGTTCATGTGTGTTCCTTATTGTTAGGATAGTCGGAAAAATATACCAATAATTGTCGTGTTAAGTCTATGGTGGCCTTGGGCCTTAAATGTACATTTCCTATTGGTCGATGTTTATTTCACTTGTTAAATATTGTGTAAATGTTGTTCTCTATTTTATGGTAAGATGTCGTTTGTTTGGTTAGTATATAAATAGAGTATGTCTGAAATACAATGATTCATAACTCAGAGGCTGTGACTTGCGTTCTTGAGTCAACTGGCTAGGATAGACAACGAAGCAGGGCCAATCAGAGCACTAGGTCGTCCACTACGTGTTTACGTGTCACTGTCACAGAATCGATCAAAAACCTGCAGTCACACCCGTTACAACACTTATAAACTGTTCGTTTTGTGACCCAATATATCCTTCGACTCAAATTATGTCTAAAAAGAGCAGTCGCTTTACATTTCCAACATACAAGTTATTCGTTTGTCATTCAGTACGTTATTAAGCTTATTTGATGACCGAACAACAACAACATTTCATAACAATCTTATTAACTCTAAATAAATGGTCGATCATCTGCGAATGTGAACCGAACTTGTCAGTATGTAATAAAAATAAGTTTTTCAGTTGCATTGGACGAATAGGAAAAAATACGGAAACTACTGGACGACTAATCGAAATAAACATCAATAGTTTTGGTTAGACATCAATCACTTTTCCACCAGATGAGTTATTATTCGTTTCCTTAATATTAATATTATCACCAAGATTAATTATTTCAAACTTATCCTTTCATGAAAACTAAATTTAAATAAATTCCAAAAGTTGAACATGAATTTCAACATAAATCAGTTAATGTGTACTGACAAGAAAAAGAAATAAAAGATCGCAAACAATCATAAACATGAGGTGTATAATTTAAGTAAAATTGTTTCTTTTCTATTACTAAAATAATTAGTTACTTTCCTATTTTAAGACAATCAACATAAATTTTCACTGAAATTTTATTTGTACTAAGGATCAATTAGGCAATAAATATTTTATGCATAGATGAATTACTTTTACGAAATGGATGTTTTATTGACTAAATATAAACTCGCGAGTGAGCGCTTAACCACTAGACCACTGAGCTTACCGGCATCCAGCTGTATTAATGTCTAAATTAGTGGTCTAGCTTCAATCGACTCATGATCTCAACTATTGAAATTACTATAATATTCACAAAAAACTCCTTCTGATATTATTCAAAATATGATCAATAGTGACGGTCTTTAAAAGGCATTTCCTGGCGTTCTAGTGAGAAGCAGTGACAAGTAGAGTTCAACCGGGTTTGTTATGAGATAGTAACTCATTGAAAACTATGGTGGATGTGTCGCTCAATTTCGTGGATTAGTTAAACATAGACATTAACACCGTTGGATGCTGGCCAAATCAGTGGTCTAGTGGTTAAGCGCTCGTGCGCGAGACTGATAGGTCCTGGGTTTGAATCTCGCGAGTCGGGATGATGGATGGGCACTGCTGAGGAGTCCCACAATAGGAGGAAACGGCCATCCAGTGCTTCCAGGTTTTCTATGGTGATCTAGCTTCAATTGACTCATGATCTCAACTATTAAAATTACTAAAATATCCACAAGAACCCCTTCTGATATCAAATGCAAACTGTTGAGCATAATTAGTAACTACCCATGTTAGTAATTTTCGTTAAATTAACAACGTTTTTTTCTTAACTAAAAATATCCACTTCAAGCAAACACATTCTTTAAAGGCATCGAACAAATTGTATGTTGTCTCATGTAAAGTTCACTCCACTGAAAGTGTAAGGTGATTGAAAATGTATCGCACGTTTTAAAAAATTCCATACATTAGTTAATAACACTTGTTACATAAAGGTTATGGGTAGAATGATCATCTTTTGCTTATTAAGTAGATAAACGATTTGATGAATGAATATGGTCTATAATTGAAATATAAAGTATTTTTAGATATTTGATTTGTTTATAATTCAAAAAATATTACCAAGGACACAACTATATAAACATGTAGTGTGTATACATCAATCCACTAGTGAAACACTAATAATATCTTCTTCAGTAGCAATAAACCACAAATTTGGCAAAATATGTAGATGATACTTTTGTCATTATTAAAAAAGATTTTCCTACGAACTTTTTCTAAATGGATCAATATACTAAGATGGTGGTTGGAAGTAGTCAACAGGAAACCTTGGACCTAGGTTTCGTGCTATTTGGCACTCGTCAGCAAGGTGTACCTATAATCTTAAGGAAACTGATGCTCCCTGACGGATTTGATCCCGTTTACCCGACTTCACAGTCAGAGATGTTACCACTGAACTATCCGGGCTGCGACCGACCTCCTGTAGGACTAAGATGTCTTTAGAATTGAGTGACCACTGGGTGTTGATCAATGTTATGTATTTCAGGTCCGTTTTAGTGCAGATCGAATCCCATCGACCAAGTTGCAATGTGGCCACCAGCCTAGTTGACTTGACATGGCATGCACTATGTTGAGATAAAATGGTAGTTGGAGGTAGTCAACAGGATCAATACACCCGCATCCCATAATAAATTTACTTAGGAGAATAAAAATGAACAATTTTGGGTTGCTTATTTAAAAGAAATTTAACTGGTTCTTTAAATCTATCTATCTACCGAGAACCAATACACTCGAATCGTTATATCGACTTCGATTCAGTACATCCGATCAGTACTAAAGTCTCCCTGACCCTAAATTATTATTATTATTTTTACATTTGATGGGGATAAACGAAAAGAACAGAAGTATATAACTAACAGCTTACAATTTAATAATTTTTCCATGAATATTATTAGAGATGTAATAAAACAAGGGAATTTACTGTTAAGTAATAGTTTGATTGAAATCCGTGGTTTGGTACCGTTGTTTTACCATGGTAAATCAAAAGAACACCAAATGGTCATGAAAGAACACAGCATGAAAATAGACTACAAAACAACTAACACCCATCGCAATGCTTTAATTTATATAATCAATAATATCCTCTATACTTCAACACAGAACTGGGTCTACGAATTAGGATGCCTTCTATATAAGAAAGTCATCTGGTGAAATCTTGACTCGGGCCAAAGAACATCTTAAGTACACACAAAAACTACATAATGATCTTGTAGAATATGAAAGACTCTACATTAGATCGGTAATCGAATGTGTTTGAATACAAAATAGCAGAATCTCTTAGTAAAATCTGAGAACCATACAGCAAATAATTCATTTGCAAAATATCAATCAATCGTCTTAGACTTCATTGTTCTTTCATGTCCACACCAGTCATTCTTTGTTCTTGTTTCCTTTTCTTTGATCTTCTTAACATTTTACCTCCAAGCATTTCACTTTCGACTGGCGATATATACTACATATATTTATCGACGTCATTAGCACAAAACACAGCAGTGCATGCCATCTTCAATAATCATTAAGTTTATACTAAAATTATCAAAATAATCCAAAAATGCTTTTCCAACTGCAAAGGAAAGCCCTCAATAGAAAGGAAGAGCTTACCAAACATCCGACTTGGACTATCTGTCCGAGCTACAATGTCTGATTTTATTCACATCTCACATCATTATCATACATACATATGTCACATTTCTCATCCATTAACACACGTGGATACAAATATTTTTGTCTTGTTTCTTTGTATTATCTAAACTTGGGTTAATTTGTTTGTTTATTCTCCAAAGAAGTGGCTTACACTAATTCACAAAACGTCAGAAAATTTAGTTTTTCTACTTATTGCGATATTACAAATGCATTCTTTCTACTAGAAACAGCTATTTAGTTAGTATTATAGTAGTTTCATGATTAAAAAGACCATCATATTTTACGGTATCTATTAATCATATAACTTCTAATGATTAATTTTCATTAATAACGTCACTTGAAAGCTACTTCCCTAACAGACATCAACCGGTTCTGATTGCAAATCGAAATCATGTTGTATCACACCAAATACCAAAATGTAAACCACAAATTTATTCAGTCAAGGGTAAATGATTACAACTTGTTCATGCTATGTAAAATATCAAAATATTTGTCTGGTCTTTTATGAAAATAAGCTGATAGCGTTAAGTGAACAGTTTTTCATAATTTCATTCTTTTGAGAAGGCTGATATGAAGAACCGTTGGCGCAGGTACTAGTTTTAGCTTTAGATGAAGATATGTTACAAGAGCTATGTTGTTTAGTTTTGATTTTTTCATTGTCTCCCGAACTCACTTTAGCATAAACTTCAAAAACATATTAATTTTAGGAATTTTTCTGCAAGTTGTGAAGAACTTTTTCTGTCAACATTATATGATTGTTTGATGTCAAAGTTTGGAATGTCACTATCTCTAAACTTATTTCGACTATTAACCTAAATGACCTGATTTTTGACTGTATAATGCTTGTGATTCTCCTAACTGGTTTCTTACTGACCTGTACGTCCAGATTATAAAAATCGTCTAGCTATATTTTCTTCACCACTGCCCAGGATTTCGATGTTTGCTTCAATGAACTTATTTGCACGATTATCAAGATACAATGATTTAATCGAATAAACGCAGCTTAATAGTTATATGGTTTTCATGTACCTTGAAAGGGTGATCACTTACTCAATTGAGACGACATGATTTGGTCAAAATCATGCTCTTAAGCTACAACTCATTATTCTTCACTGATTGCGAAATCATATGCTTCAATATAATATACTTAATTTCATCAACCGGTACCAGTGAGCTATGAATATTTCTAGAAAGCAATAAGTGTGCATAAGGATACGAAATCATGAAGGTAAGATCTTAGTAAGTAAGGAAATGATATATAAGTCAGATAAATAAGAAGTTGTAGATGAAAATTTGAATATATGTGATGTTTTTAGATCCATTCATATATATATATATATATATATATATATATATATATATATATATATATAAATGTATATCACATATATTCAAATTTTCATCTACAACTTCTTATTTATCTGATCTTCAACCACCTAGCATTGAAATGTAATCCATGTGATATTAAATCAAATTATCTATAGACTATATTGTAATCTGATCAGTAGTATTCAATCAATAATGAGAGGTGGAAAACATTAAACCGATTGCAATCCAGTTATCAAACGGTGAGGTCCCATAGTTTATTCGATAAAAAAACATCATTTATCTAAATACTTCACAATCAATTCAATCGAAAATGGTTTTTTGAAAAAAAACTTTATAAGTGACCAAAATGCTTAAGCTTAAAGTTAATTCATCCCTAAATGTATCCTTAAATTATTATCTAATACATTGAAAAAGCTGAAAATTTTTCTAAAATGAATACATAGTGATATAGGACGAATAGGTTTACAAAAAAAGGTTGCCTCATTTAATTCCATAAATCATTATGTCTCCTTAATGAACAAAAAGTATATAACTATGGTAACGCAGCATTTCCACTAAAAATATTATATTAACTTATTTTCATAAGGTATATAAATACTGTACAAACTACATGGAACTAAGTAAACATTTAAATGAACAAAAAAATTTATTCTCAGTCTACTTCTGTGTACTTTGGTAGAACGAAGTTAAATAATTCCTCTGGGAATATCTATGTACATATATATGGAGTGATAGATGGAAGAGAACAAAAAAACATTATTAAGACCAATTAATTATTTTTCTACTGACTAATCAAAACGAAACAAAATTATTTTATACAATTAACTTCTGTGTATGATTAAGTACATTACATTAGACAAACAATCCCTATTGAAATGAATATATATAAAGGTTTATTTTATTAGTTAAGGTCATGACTTAATTGAAACTAGGTCACCATGGAAAACCTAGAAACACTGGGCAGCCGTTTCGTCCTGCTGTTGGGCTCTTCAGCAGTGCTTCAATCGACTCATGATCTCAACTAATAAAATTATTATAATATCCACAAAACCCCTTCTAATATAAAGGTTTATATTTAAGAAACCAATAACAGGGTTAGTGGCTATGATTTGTTTGACTTTATTGTATAATATTTTCAACTTTAATTGTTACTCAGAACAATAGATAATGTTCATTTTGGTATACAGTTATTTGTATCAGAAGAGGTTTTGTGGATATTATAATAATTTTAATAGTTGAAATCATGAGTCAATTAAAACTAAACCATCATGGAAAACCTGGAAGCAATGGACGGCCGTAATATTTTATCAATAGAGAATAGTTCAGAATAACTTTGAAATAAATTTTGCATACATATTGAATCATTTTCAGTAAAATGCTACTAATCTTCAACTTGGTTCCAGTAAATTTTCTATCGTTTTAAAACATTTTGACTGTATTTCTCATGATGTTTTTCTTATATCCCGATGAGAATAATGAATGGTAACTCTTGAGAACTATTTATGGATAAATACGATACATATACATTTATTGTATAATTACTAAGTAGCTAAACTATGCACATTCATTTCCCTGTTATTATGAGCTTTATTTTAACTTATGAACTATTGTTATACGATTTACCATTCTTGAGTTATGCCCAGTCTATTAATTACAGACTTCCACATTTACAGCCACTTTTGGCTAGATCTTGTATAAATGTTATTTTTCACTTAATGGTACGGTGTGGTCTGTTTGGTTTGTAAATATACCCAGTATGTTTGAAATAAATTATTCATATCGCAAAGGCTGAAATTAGTGTTCTGAACTTAACAGGCAGGGCTAGACAGAAAGCAGGACGAATAAGGACTCTAGACCGATCATATAGGTTTATGGGTCATTGGGTAGGTCGATAATTCACTGTTCTCTAATTGGCGGTATTATTACATTATACATTAAAAAGGGCACAAACCCACAAGTTATAACAGTTTTAACTAAGTTAGTTTTTTCTAATACTAACACTTTTGTTTTGAACTACAGAGAAATAAAATAATTTGATAGTTGTATAACCTAGGATGAAAGTTTGACTTCATTCAGACGTCAATTACCATTGTCCAAATTCATCTTTATTTTTAAAAAAAGGTAGTTAACTACTGGGAAGAAAAAGAACGAAATCCTTGTTCTTTCATCACAACATGACCAAATAATATGTCATTTGAAGAAAACGACATCATCCCAAACAGGGAAAGTACAACATACTGATTATAAAATCTAATGCTATATCAGTCATTCGTAAATGTATTTTAGTAAACATGATTTTCGTGTGGTTGTCTGGCACATCTGATATAAACGTTTCAGACTCCTAATAATCAGAACCAGTAACTTTTTAAACTAAAGACATATATCTAGCACCCTATCTTATCATAATAGAGCACTATACTAGTTGTTAAAACCACACATTTTTGGATATTAACTTGTTTTGACTGCAGATATTTGAATGACTTTATTGACCTAGAACCAGTTTCATTAATTTGAACAACCTAATATATTTCCGAAGCAACAAATTATAACAATACATGTAATGAAGGGTTTATAAGGAATGATGTAATGAAAATTATACCTCAAATTGAAGTAAGAATACTATTAGAGGTGTTTAGCACAAAGAATAATGAAAAAGGTGATGTAGTTTAAACACAACAACGTGACTCCAATGCTTAAAATGATATTTACAATCCGTAATTTTTTGGGATGTGGATTTACAGTATAGCTTTCTCTGAGCTCTTTAGAGTTCTCTTATTACGTAACCGTGTTATAAATATAAACATTTCTAGGATTTTAATAGACGGTTATTATCAATACGAAGAAATGTAATGCATGCATAATATAAATGACAGATTTCGCCAAACAATCTGTTAGATACATTAGAAGAAAGTTTTATATTGGATAACGTAAATCTACTTCATTAATGCAAAACTTATATACACTTTTTTGAAACTTTGTAGAATTCAACTTTGTTTTTAGGTAGCAATACAAAGGTCATACCTGATAGTTTGAAATAAATTGCTCATTGGGTAGAAAGTTGATAATAAATATCAAAATAATTTAGAAAATTTTTTTGTCGGAACTATAAAGAGAGTTAAGTAGTCAGAGCGTTTCTCACAATTCCAAATCTCTCTACCCTCAGTAGGATAGAACGCCTGACTATTTATCCAACCTGAACTGTTTTTCACAACAACGACATCCGACCCTACATATTTCTCACTCAATTTTAACCCTTCAACTTTATATAAAAAATGTATACACTTATCATAATCACCTGCTTACGCACAGTGATATGTCATACAAAATCCCCTTGATCAAAATAACATAACATTGACATTTTCAGACCTATTATGATTTTGACTGTACTAAAAATGTACCACATTTTACCTTCTAACTACTTAAACTTGTGTTAATTTTATTTAGGTTATTTATTTACTCTGACAATGTGACTTATATCAAGTCATGAAACATCAGAAATACAATTTTCTACTCATTAACATATCATGTGAATATATTTATTATTGACTTACTTTGTTACTTATATCAGCTAATTTAAGATTTACAGGATTATATAAATTAGGTCCAGATAGTACTGTTGATGACGATGCTGTAGACGACAGAAGTGTACTGAGATCATTTTGATTAAATAATGCATCATCATTTAAGATAATTTCTTGTGAATTTGGTAAAGCAGCTGAAATATATGAAGTTGTTGGTGAAAAAATTAATTGTTGCTCTTTTGAGTTTTGTTGTTGTTGAGCATTTGTGTGTATTAGTATTTTATCCAATGAATGGTTGGTTAATTCTCGTTCATCATCTCGAATAATTTCTGGTGTGGTAGTCCATACAACATAAGCAGTATTTGAACATGATGAAGGAGAATTGGGAAATTTTTTTGAACAATTATGTGTTAAATTATCTTTACCGTTACTTGATATCTGTATATTACTATTATTAGTACCTTGAGTTATAACTCCATAATCTGAATTTGTAATACTCGATTGAAGTATGTCAACATTAAAGTTTCTGGAATTTTTATCTATAGAATCTGTATATAATGTACCCTCAAATGATACCGATTTAAATGAACTGAATGAATGCTTAACTTCATCATTGCTAAAAATATTTATAGTATCTCTCATAACAGACGATGATCTATGATCAGCTGATTTAATAGAATTTATAGGTTCTGATTTATTCTAAAATTAAAATCAAGTAGATAAGATAAATAATTGATTATGTAATTATTTCTTCGTTAATATTGTTATTCAAACAAACAAACAAACAAAGGAACTGAATACAAATACAAAATGGGAACTCCTTTAATAAGAAACCAATTCAAGCATAGCCTACAGAATATAAATAAAAGAATTATTAAAATTGATCTGTACTGATAAAGATCAAAGAAATCTCAATAATCATTATAAACAAAACTTAATCATAATTAACAATGAAATCAAATTAGAAAATTTCTTTAGACAAAACAAAATTACTCAATTACTCAATAAAGTTGGAACACGACAGGAGTAAAAAAACTAGAAAAAAAAAAGAAAAGATAATCGAACTTTCTATTATCCGGATTAAATTATTATTTAGATCATTTTATGAAGATATAAAGCATGTTTTATAAAAAGAAAAATATTAATGTCTAACAGGCATGAATAGTAAATGAATTTAAATAAATAAAATACACAATTAATTCAAATGAACATCAAAGATTAATACATCAGATGAAGCGAAACAAAAAAAAGGATAATATCAGAAGAGGTTTTGTGGATATTTTAGTAATTTTAATAGTTGAGATCATGAGTCAATTGAATCTAGATCACCATAGAAAACCTGGAAGCACTAGATGGCCGTTTCTTCCTATTGTGGGACTCCTCAGCAGTGCCCATCCATCATCCCGACTCGCGAGATTCAAACCCAGGACCTATCAGTCTCGCGCACGAGCGCTTAACCACTAGACCACTGATTTGGCCAGCATCCAACGGTGTTAATGTCTATGTTTAACTAATCCACGAAATTGAGCGACACATCCACCATAGTTTTCAATGAGTTACTATCTCATAACAAACCCGGTTGAACTCTACTTGTCACTGCTTCTCACTAGAACTCCAGGAAATACCTTTTGATGCCAGTCACTATTGAGCATATGTTGAATAATATCAGAAGGAGTTTTTTGTGAATATTATAGTAATTTCAATAGTTGAGATCATAAGTCAATTGAAGCTCAACCACTGAAAAGAATAATAATATTACCAACATAGTACGAACTACTATGGGTTGATAACGAAATTATGCCAAACCACAGTGGTACGACGGAAGAACTACAACGAATGGTTTCAATACATAGCATGAAAACATCTTATAAAACAACGTATACTCTGAGAAATATTTTGGTTCAAATGAAAGATAACATTCTTTCTTGCATAGACACAGAATTGTGTTTAAAGACTAGGATGTGTAGAGTGCGATACCTTATATATTAAATTGTCTTATTGTGAAATCATAACTCGTGCTAAAGAAGATCTAAACTTTACAAAAAGGACCTCCAAATAATCCTATATATCTAGAAAACCTGTAAGTCAAATCAGCATTAGTTATACAGGTTAAACCTTACTGCGCTTAACTAAAAAGGATGTCTAACGATGCATCCGATATAGACAATTTATTCAAATATCTACAAAATTAAACCCGTTCACACCTTTCACATTTTTTACATCTACTGACACGCACACATAAACCAAATATGAAGTGACATAACATGATCAGACCAATTTTAATTCTAATTGTACTAAAGATATTCTTCTTTGTGTCCTTTATACTATTTTAAATTGCGTTAGTTTAATTTGCTATTTATTTGTTTTTATTCTCCGAAGAGCTGACTTATATTTGATTATGAAACGTTCGAAATTCAATCTCGCCAGGCGAGATCAGGGATGTGCACTGCTGAGAAGTCCCACAATAGGCCGAAACGGCCATCCAGTGCCTCCAGGTATTCCATGGTGGGCTAGCTTCAATTGACTCATAATTTCAACCACTGAAATTACTACAATATCAACAAACTCCTTTCTGATATATCAGTGTTTGATAAATTTTATACTTTTGATTAAATCTGAAACATTAGTGAATAATAGGCTTGAGATGGATTACATTAGCTTCACCTGTGTTCGAAAGACTTATGCACAAACCTTACAAAAAATTTGGTAAAATGTGGTAGGTAACTCGAAAGGCTTTGTTCTCCTGTTCTCCTGTGTTGATTAATTAACTGAATATATATGAATTCCTAATCAACCTTACTCATTCTTCATTTAGTCAAGGAATATGTATTTTCGGATTTCGATGATGAACTTGCTTGATTGTGTGCATGGCATGGTTTCTTTTAACACAGCGCTTGAATTAGCTCTTCTGAATAGATAAAGGATAAATCACGAAAACCTATCTTTGTTTTCGAGTGTGAAGATGAGACATTCTAAAAATAGGTTCGATAGATAATCAATAAACATTTTCTTCATAGCTGTTTTTACTCGTAGTGTTATTATTTCACTAGCAAGGTAATTTAGGAACCCTAGGTTCGGGAATGGGAGACCTAAACGCTAAAGTGGGAATGGACAACACCGTATACGAAGATATCATGGGAAGACATGAACTGGAACAAAGGAACGAGAATGGTGACAGATTTGCAAATCTATATGTATTCAATAATTTGGTTATACGCGGCACCATCTTCCCACAAAAACGCATACACAAAGCTATATGGATCTCCCCGGACCACATCACGGAGAACCAGGTAGATCATATTTATATCATTGCGAAATTCATAAGGTCAATGGGAGACGTGAGAACCAGGAGAGGATCTGATGTAGCTTCACATCACCACCTTGTTGTGGCCAAGATGAAATTGAATCTAAAGGAGTACTGGATAGCTGGGGAAACAGCATTACAAAGGTTCAATACAGCTTTCCTACGAGATACTAATAAGTTCAACGAATTCAAGATAATTCTCAACGACAGGTTCCAAGCCCTACAAGATCTACTGAAAGAAGAAGAAGCTACTATGGAGGACAGCTGTAAAGGAATCAAACAGACACTAATCTCAACGTGTCAGGAGGTGCTAGGCCATAAGAAGCATTATCATAAGGAATGGATCTTATAGCGACTCACGTGCAATTGGGTTTATTCTCATTTAACTCAGTTAAGCCCTTTCGCTAACTTATTTAGCGGACAAAGTCGTCCGCACTATAACAACTTATTGTACCCTTATTATTTTGTGCTTGTATGAAATACGTATGCTTGAATATTGCTTACGGCCTACGCATTTATTCACTCTGCTAGTCTTACTACTAACCGCTTATTTGATTCGATTACTCATTCATTTCAGATGGTATATATATGTCCATGTTATTCATATTCAACACTCACTCACACACTCTCGTCTCGATCTTGCTCTGGCTCCTGTTCGCTTGCTTGCCTTTCGGCAAAACTCTTCTATGCTTGTTTAACGCATCTGTACATTTGAATATATGTGGGCGGTCTCGTAATAAACGTAATCAACACTTCGTATTTGCCTCCTGATTAATATACCGTTGGGACGATATATAGAACGGTTATCAAGACGAACTGTATACGAAGTTTAAGGATTATATCGAATACCGACCACCACAGTCTCTATGGAAACCCTAGACAAGATTCAAGAAAGGAAGATCAAAAAGACAGCAATTATCAACAGTCAAACAAGAGCAAAGAAAGTAAAGACGCAAGCTAAATATGCAGAGGCAAACAGGAAAGTGAAGAAGAGCATGAGAGCTGGCAAGCGGAAATATGTGGGAGATCTAGCCACGACGGTGGAAAAAGCTGAAAGAGAATGAAATATCAGACAACTATATGGCATGACGAAGAAACTGGTAGTGAAATATAGTAAACCGGGGAGACCGATCAAGGACAAAGAAGGCGAGACAATCACCGAGATTCAAGAGCAGTGGGACAGATGGGTAGAATAATTTGAGGAGTTCTTGAATTAACCTGCTCCATCGAATGCACCAGACATCGAAGCAGCACCGATAGACTTTCTTATAGATGTCACTTTATCAACGATGGAAGAAATCAGGATGGCCATCAGAAAAACCAAGAGTGGGAAAGCAGCATACCTGATAATATACTATCTGAAGCTATGAAGTCAGACATAGAAGTAACTGCAAGCATGCTTCACGTTCTATTCAGGAAGATTTGGGAGGAAGAACAAGTACCGGCGGACTGCAAAGAAGATTACCTCATCAAGACACCGAAGAAAGGAAATCTGAACAGATGTGAGAACTAAAAGAGCATGACACTGCTGTCGGTACCAGGAAAGGTTTTCAATAGAGTGCTGCTGAACCGGATGAAAAAAATCAGTAGACTCTGAACTTCTAGATCGACAGGCTGGATTTCGTAAGGATCGGTCGTGTACAAACCATATTGCGACACCACGGAGTAGAACTCATCACTGTACATCAACTTTATTGACTGTGAGAAAGCATTCGACAGTGTGGATAGAAGAACATTATGGAAACTTTTCGACATTATAGACTACCTGAGAAAACTGTCGATATCATACAGAATTCATACGACAGAATGCAGTGCAAAGTGGTGCATGGAGGACAGCTGACAGATGCATTCCAAGAGAGGACTGGAGTCAGACATGGCTGCTCACTCTCATACTTGCTCATTCTTCTGATGGTCGACTGGATCATGAAGACCTAGATATCTGAGGAAAGCACGAATGAACAGCTCAGAATCAATTAAATGATTTTTACTTCATAGATGACCTGGCCGATCTGTTGTACACACACGAACAAATGCAGATGAAGACAACTAATGTAACAGCAGTTTCTGCATCAGTAGGCCTCAACTTACACAAGATTAATACCAAGATCCTCAATAATCGTATAACCGTTGAATGTTTTTATTAGCAGTATACGCCACAACTGTTTTCTTACTCAATTACTGAGATGTTGATTTGAAAATTTATTTATAACATGGATTTTGATTTATAATGTGTTTGTTTAAATTGTTGCTAACTGACCATAATCAATATTAGACAAAAACAGATTGCGATAATTTATGAATTAACATACTTCTTTCGATAGACATTTACAATCTTGTTTTCTTTTGTTTAAGAGTTTTTTCCTTCTAAAATATATTTCAAAAAAGCAATATAAAGAAAAACTATCATTTGACATCGACAGGACACATATAAACTTTTAATTATGTTTTGAAAAAAAAACTATTCACCACTGAATGTTATGATGGGATGACGGAAGCGACTTTTGGTAAGTACATTTTTCATGTTACCGTACTCTTATAATTGTCAAGCGAAAAGAGATTGTAATCACTATGGTTACAGTGTACTTCTTAATGTAACAAAATTAACAATAATTTGTACTCTGTTTTTGTTAACAAATAATCAGGTTGGAGAAACTGTACACTTTCAAATCAAACTTGTTATTCGAACGAATACAATTTAATGGATAAAACTGATATCATTTTATTTTTCTTTTAAAATTTGTCACAACGTATGTTGTTGTAAACTATATGTTTTGATTACAATTACGCTGTACTTCAGCTACTGTACCCTAGTAAATGTATCCAAGTAGAGTGCTTGTATTACGGTAAATATACAAACTGTATGTTCATTTTATATCATTATGATCTAGTTAATACATAATTATTTATTTAACTTTTTGTCACTTTTGTCACTCAGACTGGAGATAGTCTTTTTTTTCTTTATTGACGTCAATAATTGAAAAAAAAATTATTTCAGTTTTGCAAGTATAATTTAATGAATGAGGACACAGTTGTTTATTAAATCAAAATACACATTCATTCCATTTGTTGTTGATAGAATTATTTATAACCGATGATATTTTAATCTGGATTTTTAACTTTTATTGAAGTATTAGTCAAACAAATAATTTCATTACGTAATGACGTTGTTATTTTTGCTGCTGTTGTTGATTTTTTTTCTCTCTCCATTAATTGTTTATTTAATTTTGTGTTTGTTCAAATACTTTCATTATTATCAACATAAATTGTTTTATACAAGTTTTTAAACTATTTTTCTTATTGAAATAATAAATCTCTTAGGATTACAAAGATAAATGTTTATGTATCTAAGCATTTTGAATTTTATAGATCTATGGACATTTTTGTTGTTGTTGATGTGCCTCCTGAATATTGATTACATTTCAAAAGGTTGTATCTGTGACATAGATACAAGTCAACTAATTTTAACTGATTCTAGATAAATCTGTATATTTTAAATCAATTTTCTTCTCATTAACCAAGGCTTCTCATATTTGTAGGTGATTGTATCTTAAACTATTGATAGAGATATTGAGTAAATGAGTAGTAAAATTTATTGAATACTTTCAAAGAAGTCATAGCAATTCTAATCAAATTTACCCTCTATGAAATTTTCCTATAGATAGATTCAACTTGAACAATGAGAGAAGTAAATTAAAGGGAATTCATTTATTTCATAGATTTCTGTCAGCTTCTAAGAACTCAGCAAACAATAATAATAGTGATTATCTATAAACAATGTACATACTTTATATCATATTAATGAAGATTAGTAGAATAACTTCACTCTTCTTTGATAAAATAACTACTCTATCACAACATGTGGCACTAAACATAAATGATGATACTTATATATGAATTATATTTACAACTCAAATGTACCAAGATGATGTGACTTAAATTTCACCGATTCACATTTATTTTTGCATGAAATACTGATAAATAGCTATGAATCATTTGACTTCAACATTTTCAATAGAACGATTAGAAAATACATTTAATCTAATGATTAGTACATTGTGCAATAAGGAATATTACAGCTGTTTCATTTTCGGAGCTAAATGAATGAGTTCTCAGGAATCTACTGTAGCATGTACTTCATTTAAAAGTAGAACCCCACTGAATATGATACAGAGAATTTAAACTCTATGACTTACTTTAGTAATCAACAATAAAGGTTTTAGTAATCCTAATTTTATGAGTGTATTCACAATGAATGTGATCTAAGTAAATCAATGTTCGTCTCGTACAATCCAAGGGAAATATAGTATACAATAACATATTCTCATATAACTATAGTGGTCTTAAATCACAGATGCTTTAGTACTCAAAGTACTTGACCCCAAATGCCCCGATACGGCCGAGAGTGAGGTGGGTCAGCTCTCCCTCTCTAAATGCCCTCACGTGATCACGCGTATACAGCCACTGCCACGGAAGTCCTACTCACCGCCTTCTTGCGGCATGGGTGTTGTTTCTAGAATTGAGAGGACGAAAAGCGAATGTCCGGCGATTTAGCCGGGTTGGTGGACACGGAGAGTTCACCTAGGGTAGTTGGAAAACCCCCATTTCAAATCAACAGTGCACATGAGCTCTAGTATCCTGAAGCAACAAATGGCGTATGAACCAATTATTGGTCACCAGTTACCGTGGGACCGCATTTCCTGACTTTGCTCCACTGCCTTGTGCATCAGACCTTCAGGTCGAAGGCTTGAGGTGCAATCGCCTAAGAAACCACCTGCTTCGGTTTAGGCACCCGGGCAGTATCCCAGTCCTCACACAAATCGAAGGATATGTGTGACACATATGTATTTGGTGCCTACCTATACCAATATTTATGTGTGTAAATAAATAAATAATAAAAACCACATGATTTTCAAAGTCTTAATTTAAAGTATTCACCTATTTATTCAATTATTTGTTGACCTGCATAACTCATAATTTACAATCATTTAAAAATAATTTATATTGACATTAGTCTAAATTGATCACTTACCTAAAGTATGCTGCACAGAATGTTAATAGCAATATAATCATTGAACATGTGATTGCAGTGCCAATGAATGTAGCCAAATGACTTTTGACATGTAGACAATCTACAAAAAAAGTAAAATGAAAACAGAAAACATAATGCATTAGGACAAGAATGGAAAGCAAGAATTGATGGTTAATACAGTCTTAACTCATCAAACGTCTTTTGAACAATGTAAGGAACTCAAGACAATACCTAGGGTAATGTTTCGGAAAAAAACTATCTATTAAATTTCAAACACTCAATGCAATTTCAACTAAGCTTAACAATGATACGAAACTTTAGAATATGAATTAATGATTTATTCAGATTTAGCTAACAACAAAATATATTAACTAGTCAATAATTTTTCAAATCACATGGCTATGTGCCGTTTAGTTCGTCCTTTACTATTTATAACATGAGTGCACGTAAGTATTATGTCTTATTCGGAGTACGTTGGGATTTAATAGTTAATATATTCATAAACTAACATGTGTCTGCGATAAAAATTGTGTGCTTAAAATATAGTAACAAAAGTTCACCTTTTGTGTTGCCCTATTCGGATACAAGACTGAGTAGATAGAGTAAACGTTCATCATTGGTAGAATTGATGAGTGAGGATTATCTAGAATCAACTCAAGCAGAATCTTGTCTGCCTCATTATTATTGTTTACGTTACTCAGTCTATATTATGGAGTTCTGTTTAGCTGATCCACTCTAAATACCGATCAACTTTCATTATAACCTTGTGTTATAAAATTAGGTATATGCACTTCTTAATCCATTAGTGTATAAGCTCAATTTTAGTTATTAGGATGAAAATTGACAAGGATAGTGAAAAACAAACAATAACTTTTATTTTTGATAGATAACATCTAGAGATTTACTAAAAACCAAAGATAATTTTTCCATCGAAACAATCGTCTTCAAAGTTCACTGACTGTATAGTGTTATTCGACTTCTTGGACAAATGTTATTAATGAACATCAGTGTGCAAAACAAATCTCCGATTAAATGTCATGAGCAAACATGTGTTTCACTTTTGCATTGACGGCATCCGTAGATCTCAAAATTTCAGCAAAAAACAATTGGAAAGGATCTTAAAGGTAATGATTGGAGTCTGGAACATTATTGGTAAACACATGATTTTGCGAAGTTTGATTAATTTGAATTCAAGATTATTTTTGATGTTGGCTAGTTAGAGGCCATCGGCAGGGATAAACGGACAACGAAGAGCATTAAAACACCACATCACTGTTATATGACTTCTTTTGCTTTCAAAATAATTCAACTCAATAAACTACAATTAACAGTTTATTGGGCATTGCCAAGTCAACATAGGAAGGGTAACGTACTATATACTGAGGGTTCCGAAAGACATACGTTTTATTCCACCAGTCAAAACAAAAGAAACGAAAACACCACACAGGCTCACCGATGAACCCAGACAACATAATCCTAGGCCACTATATTTTGAATATCAAGAATTCATTAATAATAGGAGGGTAATTTTATTATCTTCATAGTACTAAACTATTCACATAAAATTCAACTGAACTTTACTTTCCCTATTGATTGACATTATCGATTAGTATAAAATGCTAATACTTTCTTCAGATATTTGAAGAAACCGATGATGGACAGCTTATATGCCACGTCCAAAAAATTACCATTGAACGCTGTCAGCCATTGAATAGTTCGTAACCGGTGGAAATATTAACACAAGTATTATGAAAATATAATTTATACATAATTTTTGAAAGCATTCAGCTGAGGTTACAATTATTTTGACTAATGTCTCAGTGTTTTGTGGAGTTTATTTCGCTATGATGATAGATTTTGCCAAGCACTGATGGCAGTTAATTATTTGTTTAGAAATTAAAGACCACTAAACAAACGTTTCATTCTAAACTTGGCCTTTGAATCAAATCACATCCAGGATATCATTAGGGAATAAAAAGTGATCTTTATCTTCAACCTATAGAGCTAATTCAGTTATATGAATGCTTTTGGACAAAACATGTGAAGAAACATAATCCAAACTGATTCCACTCTATAATAGCTAATAAACCATTTGTCAATCCAATCATACTATTAACAGAGTGGGATATTCTATAAGCGTTAGAAATGGTCCATTTGAATGAAATAGATTTACATGTTTATTAGTAATTAGTTTTTAAATAACTAAACCGAAAAAATCCAAGCTGAGAGTTAGTTTATTTTGTTTATAATCATAATTTAGTCTTCATAAAGTAATGATTAGTAATTTAGAAAGAGGACTCATTTCTAACAACAGAAAAAATAACAAAAATAAACCCAAATTTATTCACCAGTAGTAAATTGAAATTCAGGAAGAGTACACAAATCGAACTTTTCACGTTTTATTTCTGATAATAGTTGCATAGTTTGCTTAGGTTGATTATTATTATTATCATTTAGAATTGATACAGAATTAATTAGGTCAACTGACGAGGGTGATTTTGAATCCGACTGCAGATAGTTTAGATTCTTTTTCATTGGTTGTGTATTCATGATTAATTTATTTTTGATTTTATCATTTGACACAAGTTGATCACATAATTCACCGGTATGTGTCTCCGGACATCTTAATTATATATGAAAAGAAACAGAAAAAGTAAATCAAAACAGATAATGTGATTATGAGTCTAGTTATACTTTAGAGAAAATAGAAGACAAAATAACACTTCGTACTGAGATACTTAAATTTAATAATACTACTTATTTAACAAAATAAGTAGCTGTTAAACAACTAATGAAGACCAAAAGATGCTGAAAAACGTTTTCACTCTTGTACAAGTCTTCACAGTAGAGCACATAGATGACCTGATTGAAGATTGAAAGAATGACATAAACAACAAAATTTTGGGGGTCAAAAATGTGAACTACTGGATGCCGGTTTAGTAATCTGAAGATAATTTCCCACCACGAAACCTGAAGGTTAAATGTTTAATCTCCGGTAGAGTTGTATATGCCCACCATTAAGTTGTTCACCACTAAGATTGAAATGTTGTAAAGCACCTCCCAGTTTCTAATGGTCATCTAAAGATATAAATTTATTATGCGAAACGTTATATACAGTAGTTCCCATAACGCCTAACAAAAAGTTAGTTTACGTTTCGATTTCCAACATAACGCTGGTTTTGTATTTAACAGTGCAATGTGAATATATCTTTGGATTCATAATTGATAAAACGTGGATCGGAGAGATAGTAAAAGATTATGCCAAATGATGTTTGGGAGTAAATCTTGAACCTAAAATTCGATAAATTTAATGAGTTTTATATTCACAATAATTGTTTGTTTTCAGTGATGTTTTATACTTGGACCGTCTTAAATATTACTTGTACTACATATCTACGCGTTTGCTGAATAAGTACAAAATTCAGTTCATAAATTAAGCGCTGATTATGTTGTCTAAATAAACAACAAACTATTCAAACTAGAAAACCCAAGGACGCCGATAGCTTAGCACTATTTCGAAATTTCTCAACTGAGAAAATATAACCTCTTGTGTTACATTAAATGGAAAATCTGTAGTGTGACTTACTTATATCCACATAAGTAGTATATAACGGTGGTCATGCATAGAATGTATTTCAGCAAAAGATCGATAAACAAAGAACGGAAACGGAACGCAAGTGGTATTAAAATGCATGAATAATGAAATCTGAGACAATGGATTGATATTTTGCAAATTAACTATTTACTATATGGTTCTCAGATTTTAGTGAGATTTCGTGTCAAATACATCGGATCGTCCCCTACTGGTGTTCTTGTCCAATACAAATCCATTAACTTAAAACCTCATTTGATGATAATCTTAAACATGTGAATAATTCTATATTAGACTACTCAATATTCAAATATTCCAATAAACACATTTATATTCAATAGTACTGATCTCAAGTAAAGCTTTCTCCAACAAAATAAAATGAACAATTACATGAATAAAAATTAAAGAATGTTCTAAAATGAAATCGATTCTCTATGGTAAATAGTTGAAAGAAACAAAAAAAATTTCAATTACATCGAATACAAATTACACGATTGAATTTTAATTAAATTTTGTCATAATAAGTACTGAAATATTTTTATTTTTTTATTATTTTCTCATCTCATATCAAAGGGGTGGAGGTGTTTATTTTGTTTTTTAACATTGAATCAAAGAAATAACTCAAATTCTATACACGCACACACACACATACGAAAATATTAAATTTAATATTTTCCATATTGAAAAAATATAAACCATATCACCTACCTACAAAGTGAATTATTATTTATAATGAAACATGTTCCCATATTGCAAATATTCACTGGACAAGCTGAATAAACTTTATGTGTCAAAAAGAATAAATAAAAAAAAACGATTCAGCATAAAGAAAAAAAATTTGTTTTTGTTCATTTTTTTTCTATAAGAGATTTTGTAGAAAGAAATTCAACCAATTCATACACAACTAAGCTTTAATGGTTATTCAATTTATTATTGTTCTTTTTAGTTTCTTCGAAATTATCTCTTCATAAAGAAGGTTATTTATGGGGAATTTATGCCTTTACATTCAAATTCTTATTTTTCAAAGAAAATTCCCTGACTAGTGATAAATCGTTTATTAATGATTATTACTTAACGAATACTACACTTACCAAATGTTGAGGGTTATTTCTCTCATTCATTTGGTTTTTTCTCTTCGATGTTTATAACTCTATTTCTATCTGAATTATTTTTAGTAACAGAAGGAGATTTTTGTGAATATTATAGTAATTTTAATAGTTGAGATCATGGGTCAACTGAAGCTAGATCACCATAGAAAACCTGGAAGCACTGGATGGCCATTTCCTTCTACTGTAGAACTTCTCAACAGTGCGCATCCGCGATCCCGCCTCGCACGAACGCATAACCCCTATATCCACAAAAACCCCTTCTGATATTAACCAACATATGTTCAATGGTCACGGTCCTCAGGAAATATTTCCTGGAGTTCTAGTGAGAATCAGTGACAAATAGAGTTTAACCGGGTCTGTTATGAGATAGTAACTCACTGAAGACAGTGGTGGATGTGTCGCTCAATTTTGTGGACTAGTTGAAGTTAGACATTAACACCGTTGGATGCTGGCCAAATCAGTGGTCTAGAGGTTAAGTGTTCGATTGCGAGACTGACAGGTCCCGTGTTCGAATCTCGCAAGTCGGGATGGTGGACGCGCACTACTGTGGAGTCCCATGCTAGGATGAAACTGTTGTTCAGTGCTCCCAGTTTTTCCATGTTGATCTGGCTTCGACTGACTCACAATCTCATTTACTTAATTATTTAATTCAAATAGATTTATGAAGAGTTTGGTTAGTTTCAGAATTTATTGTTATGGATAAATTAAGAAAATCAAAGCATCCTACAATAAAAATAGAGTGAGACAAATATCAGTCCGTTTGTTCTGTCAACCAATAAAATGAGTCTACTATGTACTAGTCTGAATTATGACGAACAAATGTGTAACTTTATTTACTAAATACTTATCATAGGTGAACAAAACTTATTGCTTATTGTTTTATCAGTATTGTCATGGAGTCGAGTCTATAGAAAACCATAAACCTACTTTTGTTGACAGATTTGCTCATCAATAGCGTTCATGGATTTCAACAGTGGGCATCCACGATCCCGCCTCGTAAGATTCGAACCCAGGACCTATCGGTCTGGTGTGCGAACACTTAACCTCTAGACCACAGAGCCGGCATAATCTCATGACCTCAACTATTGGAATTACTATAATATCCACAAAACCCCTTCAAATATTTATTTGTCTAAGTAATGTAACATGTAAGTGAACATTATAAAAGAAAACTTGCCCGAAACAAAAACCCATTTGCTTATTTGATTCTGTTGACTTTCTCCTCGACAGGAGTAGTTACCTGTGTCATTAGTTATGACGTGTTCTATTCGTAATTCTGAATGCTTTCTGTAAATAAAGATAGAAACGTTTAAACACCATTGTATTATAATGTGAATAATTGATGTAGACTAAAGATAGTATTTCATGGGGAATAAAAAAATTATATACTCTTGTGTACCTTCTGTAGCTGGATGTCAAATCTATTACATGATGTACTGAGATATGCTCTTTGTGGTAGGTAGGATATCAATTCTTAGGACTATCGCTCCTGAAAAAGTCTAGGTTAAAACCATAGTATGGTTTCATTGAGTTACATGTTTGAGCCTGTCAGCTATTTCACTAATCCTGAACGCTTCATCATCCCTCAGCATAAACTCAGAAGCCTAGCATGATGGCATTTTGGCCTATAAAATAAGGCGGTTGATTACTACTCAGAGACCACTTGATGCAAATATCTCAGTCCTACAGGAGTCCGATGATTGGTTGAGATGTTTAATCAGTTGCTTTGGTTATTTTAACTCACTGTTTTCCTTTTGATTAGTTCAGTAGCTTTAGAATGACTTTGACCTCCTTACAGTTTCACTTTCTAGATAATTCTGATCTTATGTTGGTTATCCTTAAGTAGTTTATATCATTCGAAAGATTATTCTCCTTAGTCATAGTAATGGTAAACTTGTATTTCTTGTATTTTGACTAACTTATTTACGATGAAAAATACAGACCATTAAACAACCTGCAGAGACATAATTTTCGAAGCAAAATGTTTAACAACTAGTAGATAAGTTAGATCACGTGGTATTCATACATTCTATGTTCGACCCAAATAAATCCAATTCAAAAGATTTTTATGCTTCCCAAACTAACTGGGTAAGAATAAACATAACCGATTATTATCATATCACTATAAATCGTAATTACTGTCTAAACATATACATACATATACTCATTTATGTAAATTTGTTGACTGTGAAAAATGATTCTAGTCTTGCTAATCTCTCGTTGCTTGGATATGCTTAAAGTTTATTAAATTGTTAGCCTCATTAAACCTCAATATCTTAAACAAAACATCATCATCATCATCACAACCTCAAAACAACAAAGACTACTCAACATTATATTCTGTTTAACAATCTTTAGTATTCAAATTAATATTTTATAGAAGTAGAATTATGAATGAATGTTTTTCTTTCTTTCAGCGATATCATTTGTAAGCCATAAATTGAAATAACAAAATATAAGCTAGAAAAAACGAGTAAAAGCTAAATATACTATTTGAACAAGCATTGACATCAGTGTTACATAAATAAACCACACATCTTACACTATATGACTTAATGTTTTCTAAAGTTTACTACAAACTGATAAATTTTAAACAACTGTTTTGCCAATAATTCATCATAGACAATAATATATATTCCACGTCTTGTTCAACTACTGATACAATTTGATTTGTATTAATAAAAATACTTAATATCATTTATACACAACTAATATTTTACATTACAGACTAAATTGAAAATGTCACAGTGAAATTACACAATACAAAATAAGAAAAGTGTATACATCATTATATTCACTGGTAAAGCGAATATAGATAGGATTATTAAGTCAATTAGGTACATTGAAATATGCAGAAATATAATTAATTTTAAAATGCAACCACTTTGCTAATCTAACCACCATTCATCTCTAAGTCATACGATATATAAAAATTAATTCACTTTAAAGTGGGTAAAAGTAATTAATACTCAAGTCACTGTCTTTCATTTAAGACAGTTATATTTAACGTTAGATTCAACATCGGGGCTTTTGTTACCTTTTCTTACACAGTAGTCAGTTTATTGTTGCATTATGTATACATATATTTGACCATTCACTTCGGCAGACTGTTTTTTCACTCATTCGATCAAAGATGGTTGGATTGTTATTGGTTAAGTACATACTGGTTGTGTATAAGGTATAGATATACACATTGTTTTTCTGCTTAACGCTTCAACAAGAATGACGTAATACTGCTAACTTTATAATATTTTCTGGTTAAATTCTACTATAATAAATTGCCGTTTCAATATTACATTAAATGAAAAACCCCGATTCCCGTAAATAGGGATTTGGATTTCTTTCTTTTGCTGATCTAATCACTACAGTATTTCATCACAATATTAAGTTGTAGATATTTATAAGTGAACAACTGAAGTAACACAGTTCTGTAGAAAATCACCAAGACCTAAATAGAGCGCTCTTGCAGCTTCAAATAATCCATGATAAAATGTGATGATCATTTATTATTGTTGGTTACATCTATCTTACTCCTAACAAACCTGAACAACTCTGGTCACCATTTCTAATAATAATATAATATATAATATATAATATAATATACATTATTCGTGATAAGGCTTAATGGAAGTTGACTTTTCTGCTGTTGGCATTCATCTTAAATTAAAATCAGTTGACCGTAAATTTATTTCTCAAGTTCACTGTACACCTTTCGAAAGGTCGAAATACACGAGCCATACAGATACTGAAGTACAGATAATAGACTTTGCTATATCATTACGACATATTACCAAAACTTTACGGGCTTATTTTTCCGGGACACAATGGACGACAACCTTCACTTCGTATTTCTGAAGCTAGGTGTGCTTTGTTCACAAAATATAATCGAAATATATCTTATTAAAGTTAGGATGTTCTTTCAATTGATCTTCGTATGAATAAAGATCTCGCTTATATGTTCACTTCGTCAAACGGAATAGAAGTTTATTATAAATGACTGAAATACACACTGTAAAGTGTTTTTCCGTTATATGACGTAAGACAGTGGTACTTAGCTCTTCATGATATAAACAAATCGATTTTCAGTAATAAATAATACACGATAGAACGCATACTGAAATTGTTCTGTACTGTATTTCATATGGAACTAGTTTTTTGAATGTCATATATTTGCTGAAAGCATGAAGCGAACTTTTTCACATAAGCAAAATGACAATAAACATGTTTATCTTCACTTTGGCGGAAATTATTAGATAAAAATATTTGGATATTTAAAACTAAAATCCAAAATAGAGTCACAATAATTTTGATTACATCAAGTTGATCACTGAAATGTCCAAAATGCACGACACGAATGTAAAAAAGTCCTAAACAGAATAAAGCCTTCGATAAGAACAGATAATGAAAACGAACTTATTTAACTCCCCCCCCCCACACAATTTGTATAAACTCAGTTCTGTTTAGAGCAGATATTAACAATGTTGCTGAAAAAGTGACTGCAACGTTTGAAATGTAACAGTTCAGCTTAAAAATATATAACAACGTATGTATTCATTTGCATTGTAAATCTGCTTCATTATTCGCAAAACTAACATCATATCTAGACTACTTATTTAGTTCTATATCTACTCTCCTTCTTCCTCTTTCTTCTGATGGTTGACTGGATTATAAAGACCTCCACATCTGACGGGAAGCACGGAATACAATGGACAGCTCAGAATCAATTAGACGATTTGGACTTTGCAGACGACCTAGCCCTCCTATCCCATACACACGAATACAGATGAAGACAACTAGTGTAGCAGCAGCCTCTGCATCAGTAGGCCTCAACATAGACAAAGGAAAAAGCAAGACCTTCAAATACAACACGGAGAATACCAACCCAACCACACGTGATCGCGAAACTGAGAGGTGTGGAAGCACCATCGATGAACAAGGAGGATCAGATGCAGACGTAAAGGTGAGGGTTGGCAAAGCAATGGCTGCATTCCTACAATTGAAGAACATATGAAACTCAAAACAACGATCAACCAACATCAAAGTCAGAATCTTCAATACGAACGTCAACACAGTCCTACTGTATGGAGTTGAAACTTGGAGAACTACTACAACCATCATCAAGAAGGTACACGTATTTATAAATAGTTTTCTACGCAAGATACTCAACATCGATTGGCCGGATACCATCAGTAACAGCCTACTTAGGAGAGGACAAATCAGCTTCCAGGTGAAGAGTAAATTAGGAAAAGATGTTTGAAATGGATAGGACATACATTAAGGGAATCACAAAACTGCATCACGAGACAAGCGTTAACCTGGAATCTTGAAGGGAAACGGAAAAGAGGAAGGCCAAACAACACATTACGTCGGGAAATAGAAGCAGATATGAGAATGATGAACAACAATTGGATAGAACTAGAAAGGATTTCTCAGGACAATGGTTGGATTGAGAGTGCTGGTTGGCGGCCTATGCTCTTCCGCGGGGAGTAACAGGCGTAAGTAAGTAAGTAAGTAAGTAAGTAAGTAAGTAAGTAAGTAAGTAAGTAAGTAAGTAAGTAAGTAAGTAAGTAAGTAAGTAAGTAAGGAAGGAAGGAAGGAAGGAAGGAAGGAAGGAAGGAAATTAATTAGTTTTCTTGAATTTCTTGGAAAATTGTTTTAACAAAATGTAAATTTAATGACATTTATCAAATAAAATAAAATTTCGATCACTTACGTTGAAGATGTGATTTTAATATTCGGATGCAATGACATATTTATAGATTTATTATCTTTAAACCATTTAATTTGTGGATTTGTTTCACCTTGCACTTTGCATTTCAGAATAAGACGACGACCTTCGTGAATCTCCATAACACCATGAGTTGCTGTGTGAATTTACAAAAGTTAATGGTTGAATCAATCACGTTTATATGATATTTTCTGAAAAAGAAATATGATTTCTCTGTAGTAAGAATAGTGAATAGAATGTAATATTTGTGAAAATATGTTACTTTGTAATGAAGTGACAAACTATTAACCGAATCTACGTGATATCGGTTATGGCACCAGGATGAATGAATTCTATCGATCATGTCTCAGTATTAATCCAATTTATGCGATATCCCATGAAGTATTTTAAGATGTTAGTTGATTGGAGATATTCTGTACATGAAACGCGGATTCTAAGTTTCTTGATAGAACTGATGCTCCGTGTGAAGTTCAAATTTACATCACCCAACCTCACAGTCTTATACGTTATATATGAGCTATCTGGGTCACAAGTCACTTGCAACCATCTAAAAAGTCATTAGAATTTAGGCAAATATAACGTTATTGCAATTATTTGCTACCAATTAATAACCATCATCAATAGATCATAGTAATGTTTTTCATATTTAAATAACTGCATAGAATTCATTATTTTTATGATGCTTTGAGATTACCATATCACTTTTGCACACAATTCGAAAAAGTATAGTTCAGGTGTGTCCCAGTTACTAATAGTTTCAATACAGTTCACCCGTTCATAAAATTCACATGGGAGAAGGAAAATGGGGGTAGAATAGTCTTTCTAGATGTTCTACTTACAAGGAGGAAGGATAGGTCGCTAAGAAGAAAAATAAACAGGAAAATTACCTGGACGGGCCAATATACAAACTTTCCTAGTTTTGTTCCTCTACAATACAAAAGGAACCTTATTAAGACACTGCATCATAGAATCAAGACTATATGTTGTCTGGATACGACTGAAGATAAAACAAAGGCAATATACACAACCCTGAAGGAAAATGGATATCTCGAGAAATTAATAAATAAAAACAGCCAATAAAAGACAGCATAAAGAATGTCTAACTGTAAATAAAAAGCCTCTGTATATACGCTTACAATTCAGAGGCGATGGACCGAGTGGAATGCTAAGACTTAAGTTAAGCTGATCAGTTCAAAGGACTTTGAATGCAGATAAGCGACAAATAATGTTCTCCACACGTCCAATAATCACTCCGAGGTTGAAAGATAAATTGCCTAGACTAGCTACCTCTTTTTGTATCTATCAATGGAACTGCTCCTCTGGAGCAAGTTATGTTGATAGATGTTCTAGGAATTTGTACATTCGGGCTCGTGAGCACCTCGCCGTGTGGTTAAGCAAATGTGTAGTCAAAACGGTTAACAGCTCCATTTCAGACCATCTAGTTCAGACAGGACATACAGTCAACATGGAGCAATCTTTTGCAATAATCTGTCGTGTTAACAGCAGTCTACCTAATTCCGTCAGACTGCGAATCCTACAGACGGCTGAAGCAATTGCTATTCGAATCAAAAAGCCAGAGCTTTGCATCCAAAATAAATATGTTCAGCCACTCCTTTTACCCTGGCCAACTAGTTAATAGTCAATCTTATGGTGACGTAATTTGATCAATGTTCATTTTATGTCCCAAACTTCTTATTATCATCTTTATCATTGTTATTATCATTACACTTGATAAAATTTTTGAGGAATTTATTCAGTATCCACCTCTAAATCTACTATATCTGACCTAATTCATATTATTCACTCTCACCCTATGTTGACCATATTTACTCTGATCGTTATTTATCTCACAATTTCATTTCACTTACAAAACTGATTCAAGTTAACACTTTATATTAAACAGCCCTAACATTAACGAGTTGATTTTATGCTACAATTTCCAGATGATGTACTCTACCTTAAATCTGGTCAGTTTCATGGACTAAACTTAAAGTTTGTTTGGTTAGATAAATAATAATCGTCAAACATTATTAAAACAAAAATCTTTTTAGTAATAATAACATCCAGTTCATGAACAACCATTCACTATGTAGCGGTTTTTCTATGAAATTGCTAAAGTCATAACTAAAATTCCTTTCTGATAAGCATGTTTTGCCATGCGTATAATCAAGTATTGAATTGTAAAAGTTCTTAATTCAATAATAACTAAACACACATACTTCGGCGGCTTACTTTCTATCATATGATGCGTTGTAATAAATATTATATGATCTCGTGTTCTTCTTTAAGCAACTAAACTCAAACATCCTTTGTAACTAAATATGTACTTATTTTTCCAACAAAAATCGTATGTACGTAGATCCATAAGAACATATATATATATAGAACAAAAACTGTATATTCGTAATAACCCAATGAGTGTAAAAATCAGATTTTCCTACGTCTCGTGACTCAGTGTAGGCTCTTTCCTCAGAGTATCTGGGACAACTTTTCTACTCTTCAGGATAATACAAATATATAATCTTTATTACTAACAATCTACTCACTACTCAGTCTGCTTGAAATCAACAAATCAAATCTACTGATCCGATCAACGTGAGAGGTAGAAAACCATGTTCGTCGATAGCGAAACATATAATTGAAATGGGATACAAAATTGACATTAATACAGCTTTTAAAACGTTGTATAGAAATTGTCAAGGACGAATTCTCAAGTTCATTGAAACCTTGGCTATTCTTAAATTTAAACCCCACTTATGTGTACAATCTTGAATTTATTCTGGTAATCCTTATGTTATTCTATGGCCTAGGATAACGCGACAACTTCTTATTCTTTCTATACAATGTAAAATTGTTTCTCTCCCCTTTGTTACTTTTTACTTGAACTTTCATTAACTGACCTTCATTAATCTTCAGATAAAATGCCCTGACAAGTATATGTGTGACCAGATTGTTCGAAATGTATAGCTTAAATACATCACCTTTTTCAGATCAACTTCATCTTCCCATTGTTCTATCGAAATTAAAGGTAGTCCAACCTACTGTATCTATGAAAAAGCTTACTGATAAAACATACTTAAGATCATATAACTTGGATTCTCTTTGAGGGATCTTTACTAATGTGTATTCCTAATCATTGTATGCACATTATGAATTTACCTATTTGAAATCAATCAAGATAAAATACATATCTAAGAGTCTAATATTAGCAAGTGTTTTTTTAACATTTCACAGATTGGTACATAAAGACGTGAATATTTACATCACATTAATTCATCTCGTTTCATTTAATTGATAAGTGGTATTGTACATCGTTTTAAATCTTATCCATCACCAATCAGCCATTAACCGGCATTGGCAATAAAATTGATTAGATATATAAGAATTTTATTGAATACAATTGTTCGGTATAAGAGCAAGAAAAAAGATTCTAGCAGAATAACATGAATTCATTTTATTTCGTAGGTTCTCGTCAGCTGCTTACAACCTGTGGTATTTAAAGAGATAATAATTACATAATGGGTTTAAATTGCTTACATTAGAGGGTTTATATTGAAGAAATATTCACAAAGTATGACATGGGTGTAAATGAAATTAGTAGACTGAATATTGTAAATATAGACCTAATGTGAATATTCTAGAGCATTAATCGCGACAGCAGTTCACTTGTTTCTAACCCTTTTGAACTGCTGTCACGATTAATGCTCTAGAATATTCTTTCACATTGGGTATATATTTAAAATATTCAGTCTACTAATTTCATTTACACCCATGTCATACTTTGTGAATATTTCTTCAATATAAACCCTCTAATGTAAGCAATTTAAACCCATTATGTAATTATTATCTCTTTAAATACCACAGGTTGTAAGCAGCTGACGAGAACCTACGAAATAAAATGAATTCATGTTATTCTGCTAGAATATTTGTTCTTGCTCTTTTCAAAATGACAAAGGGAACCATGTGTATGAAATGTTCGGTATAAGTTTATTATAGAAATCAAATATAAGCCAATATCATAATTGCAACTATTTATATTTATATATAAGATCCCGATCTCAGTGTTGCATGCGAATAAGCTTAATATAAATACTTTTTAATGACAGATTCGTGAATACATTCAACATGGCCATTAATATTAATAACAACATATTTCTGATAGTTGAATGAAGGCAGTCATTAGGAAACCTAGAATTCAGGTTTTATGCCAGTATGTGTCAGAGACATTAATCTGTGATATTATGCTTTCCATGGTTTTGGAAATGATGTCATTCAATGTCACAGTCAGAATTATTACGGGCGTCTCACACTGCTGGGATGTTTACACTGGTTTACCAATTAGTGTTGACCAATGTTATGTTTTAACTCCACCTGTAGCACTCATAGGGTTACTGCCGGTCCCAAGCCCGGGTAAAGGAGGAGGGTTGGGCATGGGGTTAGCGTCCCCATCCCGTAGAAAACTAACTCGCTAAAAAAACGCTTACCAGAAAAAATAATTCAAACCATTTTAACTCTGCCCTGGGAGTTAGAAGGCCTTCATTTAGAAGAATTATGACGCTTCATGGTGAAAGCCGAGTTCCTTCGAAAGCCACGAGGCCGATGCCCCTTCTAACAACCAGAGCAAAAATTTGTATAGGTACATGGAACGTTCGAACAATGTGGGAAACCGGAAAGACCAGTCAAATATCAATGGAAATGAGGAGATACAACTTAGCAGTACTGGGAATCAGCGAAACCCACTGGACCCAAGCTGGACAGAAAAGGCTAGCTACGGGAGAGATGCTGCTATAGTCCGGTCACGAAGAGGACAATGCTCCACACACTCAGGGAGTCGCTCTTATGCTGTCCAAAGTAGCACGAAATGCACTTGTAGGATGGGAATCTCACGGATCCAGAATCATCAAAGCATCATTCAATACAAAGGAGGGGATCTTAATGAATATTATCCAATGTTATGCACCCACTAATGATAGCAACGACGACATTTAAGATCAGTTCTACGAGCGGCTACAGTCAATCATTGAGAAATGCCCAAGGAAGGACCTAACTATTCTGATGAGACATCTAAATGCCAAAGTCGGAATAGACAACACTGGATATGAAGATATTATGGGACGACATGGACTGGGAGAAAGAAACGAAAATGAAGAAAGATTTGTAAATCTATGTGCACTCAACAAATTGGTCATAG